ATTATTGTTCACTCATTTTAGGTTAAACTTTTCTTTTACCATGTTTGCCTTCCTATGTGTTAGAATCTACAGAAACTATTATATTTCTTTTTTAACTGAATAATTATATATAAAAATACAATATTATCCCAGGTTTAGTAATTTCCCTCCTGATCCAGGCTTATAATTGCTTATTGCTTTCTACCACATTGTATTTGCATAGATATAATAAAACATTTTAAAATACAAATTAATTTTGAAATATTTGCAATATATGTATGCTGGGATTTGCCCCAAATTGTGTCATGTTAGCAGGCATATTATACTTTAGCATCTTGAGGAGAGAATCTGGTAGACGCTTCCATTCAGGGTTGGTTAGTTCATTTATATGGATAGAATGGAGATGCTGGCTATAGATTCCAACAATGAAGGGATTCACAGAGGCATTACTATGATGTGTGGTTAGTGCCTAGAATGGTCCCAAACCAGTCAAAATTGGAAACTTCAAATGAGAGAAGAGAAACAATATAGAAGGTGAAGAAGGTGACCAGTAGCAGGAAGAGTAGCAGATAGACACTGAGTGATACAGACAGAAGGAGACTCACTGGCACAATTTTATAGCTGAGTTTGAAGGGAAGCTTCATAAACCATTGTGGCAAAATCCCCAGAGCTTCCTCATACCCAAACTGGCCCTCCAGGTCTGATCTTTCGGAGCCCGTCCTATTATGTTTCCCATCTTGGATTTCCATGAGATTCTGACTCTCTTATTGCCCCATTTACAATACTCCATCACCTCCTAATTTTCTTGCCTAAGTAGAGTACATCTCTGTTCTTCACATTTTGGGGGGAAAAGGGATAGGAAGTAGAGGAAACAGTGAGGGAAGACAGACCCTGAACATGTACCCTAGTTCTAGATTCCAGTCCAGAACACTCGTTCTGACCAAAGATTCCTTACTTGGTGGCAGACTTAGACTGGAAAAATTGATCAAAGGAAGACAAACCAACTCTATGGAACTAGAAATCTGGAGGATTATTAATAGTAGGAAAACAGGGTTTCTTTTGTAGAAATGTGTGTAAAATCATAGAAGCCCAATAGAAATGTGTTCATGATCGACAAGTTCTCAGAAAACCACACCTCAAAACTTTTGTTCTGCTCACAAATTTTGCACCAGTCATGGTTGGACTGAAATACTAGGAGACTGGCTCCAGAACCTCATATAGAGATATGATATATTCTATATTGATATATTATATGATCCGGGGCTTACTATATGATCTCATGTTTTTTATGGACAGAGCTCTGAAACAACTGCTGAATATTTCAAAATATGCCCTGTAAGTATTCAACGCAGACGTATGGATTGCCTGATTTATTCTGAGGGTCCTGCTAACAGTGACAAAGAAAAACTGGAAACATGAACATTATTTGTACTCTTTCAGCACTTTGGGTGCATCTCTCTAGTTATAGTTCTATCACAGATTGATGAGGGCAGGAAAACCTGCCCACTGGCCCTCAGGAGGAAGAAATAGCCTCCGGAAGAACACAGTAAGTCACGACTGGGAAAAGGCTGTGAGGCTGGAGGTTGAAAGCACCTGCCTTAAACTTCTTGGGCTGATTTTAAATCTTTGCTTAGGACCATCAAGGTAGGACTGTGGTCTTCCAGTTGGGACAAGGTAGAGACAGCAGGATGGTGTATGAACCTCCACAAATCCCCTTACCAGTAAGGCAGAATAGCTAGGACAGCAAAAAGAAAGTGCCATACACCAAAGCAGGATCTGCTAGGGTGGCCTCAAAGATCTCAGAAATATAGAAAATATGCCACTAAAATCCCTCCCACAAACATAGAGTTCCATTCTGAGGAAGAAAGGAACAATCAGTAGAAATGAAATTGAGCAGGGTAGCAACGAGAAAGTTTTAAGAGAAAGTTTGAATCCTGGTGGGAAAGGGGATGGCAGGTAGCAAATCTTGGAAATCACTGTAGAGGTTGCTCTAGAGAGATGAAGAATTTTAACTACTTCCCTTTCAATGCCTTCAAGAGATGAAGTTAGGAAGGCTCCCCCCATCCACCGCCACCCCAACATGGGGATCTTCCCGGAAAAACATTTAATTTAAGCATGTATGACACAAAAAAACTGCAAATAAACCCCATATAATAATGTTATGAGACAAGAGCGCTGAACACCATACTTACAGAAAACAAAAGGATGTCAGAAAAATACGGCTTCAAAATGGATAGAAACTCAACATTTCAAAGTGCAGCTATAAGAAATGAGGGAAATGATAGAAACTATGAAAAAGCAGCACAGAAAAACTTTTTAAAGATTTATTTATTTGAGAGAGAGAGAGAGAGTGTGAGTGCGTGCATGCGCGCGCGTGCACGTGTGCGCGCCCCCCCCATGCACGCACACACGCGAATTGGGGGAGGGGAAGAGGGAGAGAATCTCCAGCAGACTCCCCTTTGAGATCATGACCTGAGCTGAAACCAAGAGTCCAACACTTAACTGACTGAGCCACCTAGGTGCCCCCGGAGGAAAAAAAAAAAAACTTTTTAAATGTTCAGCTTCCTTCTCTAAGAATTCAATCTAAAAGCCATTTGGGGGGGCGCCTGGGTGGCTCAGTCGTTAAGCATCTGCCTTCGGCTCAGGTCACGATCCCGGGGTCCTGGGATCGAGCCCCACATCAGGCTCCCTGCTCAGCGGGAAGCCTGCTTCTCCCTCTCCCTCTCCCCCTGCTTGTGTTCCTGCTCTCTCTCTCTCTCTCAAATAAATAAAATAAAATCTTTTAAAAAATAAATAAAATAAAAGCCATTTGGGCTGAGCAAGGTAGATCTCCATGAAGGAGGTTACTGGGTAAAGGCACACCATAGATGATTGGAAGCCCAAGTGGGTGAGGACAACGTCCACGCACTCTGGTGCAGATTGTCAGAGTCTGCTATGGCGAGGAGGGTGTCCCTGCTGAGTGCTGTGGTGGTAGATGTGGGTGAACCTGGGCAGTTGGTGACTGAGTGGATTAGGCAGGTGCCACTTGGTCCAGTTGGTCATTGGAGTCCAAGCTGCGTGAGGAGGGCAACTTGTGTGGTGGATAGCAGTGGCAGGCTGGTAAGGAACATCGAGATGTAAGTGGGGCGCATGGTGACCCAAAAAAGGATTTGGCACCTGAAAGTTGCAAGGAGGGTATCTGCACATGGGGGTAGCCTGCAGGGGCGATGCTGGAGCCCGAGGGGGTCAGGTGGTGGCGCTGGGAGCTTGGTCTTGTACAGAGGGGAATAACAAAACAAGAAAAGTATTGAAGATAATAGGAGCCCAGTTTCTCAGCACTCTAGAAGGGATTTATAAATATGGCAAGAGAAAAAAAACTAGAATAAATTCTAGATGGAAGTGCGCATGTGTGTGGGGGGGTGTGTGCACACACTTGCACGTGTACATACACATATGTATTCTTCGACTTTGGCCACGGCGAAGCCCTCAGGGCAGTGACACTCCAGTAGCCATGTGCATACCTAGTACCCCAATTTTGGTTTCTAAATAACTTTCCCGCTGAAAAGAAGCAGGGCTTCCTAGAGGGAAAGTACCAAATGAGCCTGGAATATTTGGCTGGGGCAGATATAAGGAAATATTCCAAGAACGATGAAGAATATTGAAAGGACACAGTAACAAGCTTGAAGTGACTCTTGCTGACCAAATCTAAACATTAAAATATGTGCGACAGTAATGAATTATAATCAGTTCAACAAAAATAGGAAAATGAGCTTATATTTATATAATCAAATAAATAGGCCTCATCCTACCAGTTTCTTAGAAATCAGTCTCCATCTGTGTGAGCATGCCTACTCCTATTTTTCCCGGGGTGCTAGAACCATACAGAGTGGAAAGCCTGAGTGTGCGTGAGCTGGGGGAGGGGGGAGGCATCTGCTCATGGGCACAGCTCTGAACACAGGTTACTGTTGAGATGTCCAGGGGCCAGACTCACATGCCTTGCTCAGATCTCACCGATTTCAGCCTCTTCCATGCCATGCTAGACACATGGGAATATTTGTGTGGCTGCTTCTGGTCTCATCTCCTTGGAAGTATCCAGCAGCTCTTCCGAATCTAGGGACTGATGCCTTCCTGTGAGGTTGCCAGGCAAGCAGGGTGCAAGTTACTATCTCTAGACCCCCTGGATGCCCTCTTCTCTTCTCCCACCCCCAACCTCAAAGAGAGTCTCACTTCTAGAAGGCAGAAAAGCTTTCTCTCTTCAGAATTCCTGATGCAAATTCTTTTCTAAGCTCTACCCTTCTCCTCACTCTGGGAATAGCATTCGTGAACAAAATTCAGGAAGACCCAAGCTATCTCTTTTCACTTTGCTACTCCCCTCCCCACGAGGCCAGGGTGATGTGCTTTAGTGGGAGTGTGATAAAAAGGATAATATCGAGAGAGAGAAACATTTAAAAAGAAAGAAAGAAAAGAAAAGAACATATCCTACCACAGAAAGAAGGGGGAAAGCCAGGAAAAGAATTGACCTATTCTCATCTCCCTTTGTTTTTTTGTTTTTGTTTTTGTTTTTTGAGAGAGAGAGAGGGAGCATGTGATGGGGGGTGGGCAGAGGGAGAGGGAGAGAGAGAATCTTAAGCAGGCTCCATGCCCAACCCAGAGCCCGAGGCAGGGCTTGATCTCAAGACACTGAGATCATGACAGGAGCTAAAAATCAAGAGTCAGACGCTTAACTGACTGAGCCACCCAGGCATCTCTAGTCTTCTTATTCTGAAGCAACTTTGGTACACAGTGAAAGCACTAGGTTTCGTAAGAACCTGCAGGAGACATTGGTTTTACTCTCAAAGTGTTTTGTTTTTCCCCCACTCCATCACCACCACCACCAGGGACTCAGATGGAAAATCTAGAAAAGGAGAGGATTTTTTCTTACATAGGCAGAAGGCAGGACCACGTGTTTGCAATCCGAAACGTGGCTTTCTAGGAAATCACTGGGACGAGGCTGAGGCAATAATGTCATCCAGAGACTGGAGCCCCCAAAGGACTAGCAACATCTACAGGGTTTCATTGCAAAGGTCATAGCCCCTGCAGCACCTGAACTTCACCAAGTAGACACTCCATTTTATTTTGTCCACATTAGCACAGTTTTTCAGGCAGCCCATGAAGGTTAACCACAGAGTCCCATCTTCTGCAGGAGGAAGGAGAGACAGATTAGCAAATAGGCTTCGGCAAAGAAACTTCTTTCCAGCCCCTACCAGCCGACAAGAACAACTTTGTGTGTAGTTCAAGTCTCTGTTATTCAAACATGCAGAACTGCAAGATGTTGCAAGTTGAGGGCTTCCGGGAAGGAAAGCAGTGGCAGAATAGTTTGCAAAAGTTCTTGGGGTTGGGGAGGTGATAACAGCAGCAACGGAGGGATTTCCAAAGCTGAACGTTTTCAATGGAGAATCTTAACACTGGTTTAAGTCAGGGTTATAAATGCCAAGGGTTCGCTTAGCACAAACCGTAGAAGAACCGAGAGGGCCATTTAACCCGTGTCTATTGCTCACATTGGCCCCTCTATCTCCACAGTTTAAAACCACCCCCATGGAGGTCCAGGCATGGACAGACAAGGAGCTGCTCTCCCCACTCCAACAAGCACCTGCTCTCCACTGGCCATATTGTGCCTCCCCTCTTCCTCTCCACCCAGTCTCCCTGCTTTCTGCAGGCTTCTCAAAATACTGGTACCGTAGCTATAGATCCCCACCCCTCGGTGACCCCCTCCATCCATTTTTCATGATGGTCTCTGATAGGGGTAGAGAGAGATCAGGCATCCCGGGGCTGGGGCTGCCTGGGGCAAAATACGGTCCCTGCTTTTTCCCACGGCTCCTACGTCCGGTCAGCTTCCCCCACCCCTGTCCCCCAACTTACTCTTGAAAATCCTCCCAGTCGTGCAACCCTCATCTTCTGTAGCAGTGCATATTCCTCTGCCTCTGGAACACCTCTCTCCTGGAAACTGCAAGTGGCACATCCTACACTGAATGATTTCTGTCATTGGGGCCGGGAAACCAGGAATAGAAATGAGAGGCGATCTCCCGCTGCCACGAGAAAATCCGCCTCCCCTTTGAGATCGGAAGTCGGCTTGGAGTCCGGAAAGCTTGCCCAGAGGCCCGTGAAGTGTGGGCATCCGCCTCTATGAAGAGAGGCTAAGCCAGGAGAGGGGCGGGAATTCATGGTCTCGGGAGATTGGGCTGGGAAAAATGGGAGGGGAAATAAAGGGGGCAGGGCAAGGAAAAGAACGAACTTAAGACTGAGATAATCAGGTCCTCTTCATACTCACTGAAGTAGTGGTTAGCATCAACAAATATTTCATGGACTGTGCTGGCAAGAAAAAACAAAATCAAATCTGCAATTTCGTCCGAGATTTAGCCCTGCACGGGGTCCCTGCGAGGCTTGCCGCACACGGGCTCCGTCCTGCGCGGTTCACCTGGGGCCACGCTAGGCTCTTTCTGTCCCTCCAAAGCCTTGGCACCTGCCTCCTGGCATCTTCCTTTCAATTCCCTTCACCTCCGTGGGGACTCGCGGATACCCTACCCGCCCCTACAGCACAGACCACAGGAGAAAGATAAACGCAAGGTCTATCTCTGGCTTCCTTTCGACACCCAATGCCCGCTCTGCCTGGCTCATCTCCTCCCTCCTCCCGTCTTCCCCCTCCCACACCATGATCTATTTCTACTCACTTGTGTGTTCGCCGTCATACAGTGACCCAGACAGTACTGTTGGGGAAAGAGATACGTGCTCAGCAGACCTCATTTTACAAACCCCTCCTCACAACTTCTATGAAAATCTCAATTCCTTTATAATCCACTTATTTTCTCCTCTAAGGGGGAGACTAAGCCTCTGATGAAGGGATGTGATGCATTGGAGGTGAAAGGCATGGTATTAGAACGTTCATGAGGCTCCCATAAGAGCCTCTCCGTCATGGGAGCTCTGACCCATTCCCCTATCCTGGACACACCTCACCAACCGTCAAGGCTAGGGACTCACTTCTAAGGCAGCTGAGCAGGAGGGGGAGTCCCAAAAGCAAGGGCTTGTCCATTTTGAAAAGAAAAAGGAGCAGGTTAGGGCAGGAAGCTGCCAGCTGCCTATTTATACCTCTGCCAGTCTGGGCTTCCCCAAGAAGGGTTAGGGGTGGGGACACTGCAGGAACGCTGGAAAGGCGTACTCCACTCCCAGGGAAATCAGTGACTCTGTAGTTTCTCTTTTTGGAGAACTGGGGAGAAAAGGGACCCGCGAGGTAAGTCCTGGACCTGATTTATTCCAGTCTGACCACCCAGGATGCCATGTTTTGTGGTTTTGTTTTGTTTTTTTCATAAAACCACACTGTGGGAGAAAACGAGGATAAGTCAGAGCTAGGTGGGTAGGACTCATAGTCATCTATGCCAAGGTGCTCGTTAGAGCTGAGTCCATGAGCACGAATCATGGCAACACAGAAAGGGTGCCGAGCATAGACCCTTAAAAAGGCATACTTGTGGGGAGTGGAGAAGAGAGGTGGAAGGTTAGACTCAGGGACACTGACCGAGGATTCTCAGGAGGGGCCAGTTTCACACCCAGTCACTCTAGAACAAAGCAGACCCTGACACTGAGAGCTGAGGAGGAAGCTGCTTCCCATTCTTGGGAGTTTCCCAAAGGTTGAGACAGATTTTGTTAGGGGACAGAGGTCTGAGATTCCCCCTGGAGCGAGGGGAGCTGGTCCTTCCCACTTTGTGTCAGGCCAGGTATTAGGGGCAGGGGTTACCTCAACTCTGAGAAGCGCTAGGTATTCAGTCAGAGAGCTGGCTGGAGGTACAATTCCCATGGAAGGGATTGAGCTGGTGGATTCTAGGAACAGCCGCACCTAGTGTCTCGTTCTAAGTTTTCTGGTAGTTTCCTTCTGTTATTCCTATACCTTTAACAGGTAGGAGCCTCGTCTCTGCTGTCATCGCAAGGAACTGAGGGAAACGACTGTGCCTGTGCTTAGGGCAAAGCAACAGAGGGAGAGAAACAGCAACCGGAAGGAAGCAGATTGCAATGGGGCACAATTTAGGGCTACAGAAGCAAAGTGGGATCTTGGTCTAAGCCAGATGTTGGCTGAAGACGTAGGGGACAAGAGTGATGTGTGGAGGAGATTTTCTCCATGGTATATCGGAGGTTATAACTAGTTAACTGCTTACCCAGGGCACCTAGGACCCTGGTCAAGCTTTGAAGTGAGACCATTGAGTACTTATGTGTTCCTTACACACACACACAGACACACACAAATGACATCACTGATTTTTGTGTTCTGCATATTTACGAACAGATCTCTCCCTTTCCCTCCTCCCATTGCCCTGGAATTTAGCATCTTCTCTTCCATCTTTACATTCCTTTCTCTGACCTTTTGAGCTCTCCCTTCTTTACCTCCTAGGAATTCCATCTTTCATTGTTTGGCTAATGGTAGCCCACAAGAAAGGAAGAAATGCTCTCTTCCTCCGCCTCATCAGAAACTGTCTCTTCCCCTAATGACACTCCTGTGCTACGATTATACCACTTTTCCTAAAGCAGAATTTTCCTCTCCCAGCCTTAGTGATCCACCTGGATTCCTAGCTTACAGTTGAACCCTATTTTATTAACTTACTTTTCTCCGAAAGTCTCCTCAAATTCATATTTCCAGCCTGAGTAGCCCATAATACCTGATTTTCTTACTGGGCCCCCTCTTCCTTTTTTCAGTGCCCCCAACTCTCTTCTTATCCTCCTAAGGCAGCCCACATAATTCATTTTATGTCATATATTTCAGACCTATGACTTCACAGTATTCAGGAATGAATCCCTTTTGCTGATTGCCCTGAAATTTACGTAAGTCGGTCACAATCCCTTTGTTCATGATGCTCTCTCTTCTCACCACCACAGAGTTCTGGGGGTCCACTCGTTAGTCCAGAAGAGTGTCCCAACTACTCAACTCTGAGAGTGACTAGGTAGGTAGCCAATTGTGTCTTTGTGTGTATAATTAGAAGCTGTTTCGATTATGTACTAGCATTTTTGGTTTGCATCTCCAATGATGCCATGTAAGACAGTAAAAACAAAATGTTTTTTTGAATGGAAATTCACTTTCCAATTCTAAGGTATCATTATTTTTATTTTTTTAAGATTTATTTATTTAGAGAGAGAGAGCCTGTGCGTGCATAGCAGGGGGAGGGGCGGAGGCCGAGGGAGAGAGAGAATCCTTAAGCAGACTCCCCACTGAGCACAGAGCCCGATGCAGGGCTCCATCCCAGGACCCTGAGATCACGACCTGGGCAGAAATCAAGAATCAGAAGCTTAACCGACTGAGCCACCCAGGCACCGCAAGTTAACATTATTTTTAAAAGAAACAGATCTAGGGCGCCTGGGTGGCTCAGTCGGTTAAGCGACTGCCTTCGGCTCGGGTCGTGATCCTGGAGTCCCGGGATCGAGTCCCGCATCGGGCTCCCTGCTCGGCGGGGAGTCTGCTTCTCCCTCTCCCACTCCCCGTTTGTGTCCCCTCTCTCGCTGTGTCTTTCTCTGTCAAATAAATAAATAAAATCTTTAAAAAAAAAAAAAAGAAACAGATCTACTCTGCATGGGAAATACAGCAAAATATCCAGAAAATCGTTGGTAATTAAGATATTTTCACATAATGACCTTTGTGAACAGGTTCATGGGGCTGGAGGTGAATACCACTGGGATCTGAGGAAGGAGACCTCCGCTGAGGCAGATCCCACATACGAGCAGTCTCAACTCCAATTATTGTTCCATGCAGCACCAGTGGCCTTAGGCTCCTGGGCTCTTCCCAGCACCCACAGCACTTGTTCCGGTGATCTAGCAGGGACAGAACAGTTTCTTCTAAATCAGGGTTTGGGAAAATGGTCCGATCAGAGCAGCCTGTCTCTTTTCCCTCGGGCCAGTAACCAACACAGCCTTGGGTAACTGAGACGAGATGAAATCAGAGAAGTTCTACCCTATGGAGGGATGTGAAAACAGGTACTTTTCAGACAATATGAGCAGGTCCAAGAAAGAACATAAAAGGAGTGTATCTGGGGAGCCTTAGGTGTGTATTCTTTTCTATCATGAGACTCACAATCCCCAGGGATTTCCTGGGACTCTCAGAATTGTTCAATATGTCCACAGTTCCATAGATGGTTCCCTCCTATGATTCTGAGGGCCAGAGAAGAGAGCGTGGACATTGACGTGACTAGGGAGGTAAGCCTAAGATTCAAGAGTGCAGAAGTAATCAGTCATCTACTCATTGTTCCTCTTATGGCTTACAGCTCAAAAAAAATCTCCTCTACTTTCAATATACTGTTATCAACAAACCTAGCTCTCACGAGGAGAACTCACTCAAAGGGTGACCTCAGCTGAGGAGAAATTAGGGAATCCTCTTGTGCTTTCCATGGGAAAGTCGCCAGAACACAAAGGCCATGCTCAGAGATCTCTTGGCAAAACCTCAGACACTCCCATGGTGGCACATAGCTCTCTATATTGCTCGGTTTTCGATGTACTATTCAAATGAATCCCTTCAGATTACAAAAATAATCTCTCTGTGTTCAGAGACTGTCCCTGACCAGTTGACCAAAGCAGATTTCCCCCTATTTCGTGTGTGTGTGTGTGTGTGTGTGTATGTGAGAGAGAGAGAGAGAGTGTGTGTGTAGAGTGGAGTCTTTATATTTTATACTGATGAAAAATAATACACATGCAAAAAAGAGTAGAAAACATAAGTGCATATCTTAAATCATTGACCGTGAACCAGGTCATGAAATTTAATATTGCCAAAACCACAGAAAATTCCCCACACCAAGTGCTCCTTCCTAACTACATTCTCCTATTTCCTCACCTAGTGGGAAACATCCTTTCTTTTATGGAACTTAATTTAGCCATTGTTTGATTTTATAGTTTTACCACACTATATTTTTTTAAAGATTTTATTTATTTATTTGATAGAGAGAGAGTGAGAGAGAGAGCATGAGCAGAGGGACAGAGGGAGAGGGAGGAGCAGGATCCCCACTGAGCAGGGAGCCCGATGCGGGGCTCGATCCCAGGACCCTGGTATCATGACCTGAGCCAAAGGCAGACACTT